AGTAGAATGGGCCAGTCTGGGGCTCTCCAGTGGGCATTAGAAGATTCCCTCAAACTGAAGGAGAGTGTCAGAGAAGCTGGGAGCCCCCTGTTTAATGACCAAGAGGAGAATCCACCCCCACAGCTTCTGCCTCTGCATTTGGAGGCAGATTTAAAGAGTGATTTTCCTTGTTAGTATTCTCCTTGCCATCTGGGTGGGTAGAGCGAGCTAGCACCAGAGAGAGAATTTGGGCAGAGTGGGCGTGTTGATGTTAGGAATGAAATGACAGTTTTCCCCGTACTGTTGTTACATTTCCCCTAATGCCAGAGAAACTCGATTCTAATTGTATTATAGGAATGAATGAAAAATGCTCCAGCAAATGGGGTCAATACTGATGGTTTTGTAGGAAAAATACACGGCAAACTCAAAAAGCTCTTTCTCAAAAAGTAGGGCAGAGGACTGGGCTGGGACAAAGCCTTGGTCAGTGCCTCACCTGGGATGCGGTCATTATGGGGACCTGGGTATAGAAGTGAGGTCAGGACCAAGGCTTCACTGCTGCTGCTCTGTCTGCCTAGAATGAAACAAGAGTCAGGCCGGTGGTGGGATGTGGAAGTCATAGAGCCCAAGCAGGATGGACATGAGAGCACAGTGATGGACTCAGGGAAATTATAAAGGGAATTCGGATGTCAGCACGGGGCTCCAGGAATGGATGAGCAACTTCCCTTTCCAATTTCCATTAGTGGATGTTGGTCAAACTCTTGGAAATGAAGAGCAGGGCAGAAGCACTAAGTGTCCTGATTGCACAGGCACAGGCTCAGGCTCAGTCTTGCTGACTGGGAAGGCAGCTCCTAACCTCCCACCTATTACTTATGTAACTGCCAGGCACTGTCTGCTGAGCTGGTGGCCACAGGCAAGTCCACCCTAGGAAGCCAATCTTGAAAAGCCACTTTCAGGACTGAAGGCTTTTCCTAGGAGCAGACAGGAGAGTTTCAGCAGCAAGATGGAGCATTGTGGCATAATCGGTGCTGGTAGTGATGACACGGAGGGGCAGTAGGCACACAGGCCCGAGTCAAATCTCTGCTCTCTCAAATTCTTCCTCTTTATCCTCATCAGAAGAAAAATCCCAGCTTCTTTCTCTTCATCAGCATCTGCAGAGTCCACGCCCCATGCCAGGTACCATCCCGGTCACTTCACGTACAACTAATCAGCTCCTCACAACAGTCCTCTGTGGTAGGAACCCTTATTTCTCCCAACTTTCTAGCTGTGTGATCTTGGTCAAGTTACTTAATCGCTCTGTAACTCAGCTAGAAAGCGGTAGAACTGGGGTTTATACCCAGGCTGTCTGGCTCCAGAGTCTGCTCTGAATCACTTGGACTAGGCAAGATGTCACCTCTCTGAACCTCAGCTTCCACTCATGTAAAATGGGGACAGTAATACTTACATCACCAGGCACCAGGTAGGGGCTCAATAAATGTCATCTCCCTCCTCCATGGCTTTGGGTCATAACACTCATTCAGTCTTGGCTCTTATTTTAATTTCTCAGAGATCCATGGACCCTCTCCCTGGAGAAACACATGCTACATATATAAACTTACACATACACTCAGCACTTTGCTCACAATTTCAATGGGTTCATGGATCATTTGAAACCCTTACTCAGTCTTTGGACCCATGATGAGTAGTTTCTACCATATGCTCATGTTTATCCATCCAACTTATACTCGTTGCTTCCTATTATGCAAATGTGAGGGATATAGATACAAATGAGAGGTGGTTGCTGCTTGAAGGAGCTTGCAGCCTTGTGGAAGGAGGTGGTCGGTCTGGTACACAAATACATGCATCAGAGTGTTACGTATGCCTTGACGGTCATCATTATAAAGTAAGATGGGATAAAGAGGAGAGGCTGTCTTTTTAGCCACACCTATCTACTGAGTGTTAAAGAGAAATCAGCTACAGACAGATGAATGAAGGGGGACACCTTGGAAGGGTATTTCGACCCAGTAGTTATTAAACGCCTATGATGGCCCACCCACAATGCTGTGCTGCCGGATAGAGGAGAAGTGTCAGAAATAGCTCCTATCCTGGTGGAACCTACATTCTTGGGATGGCACGTCTAGAACACACAAGAAATCATTAGATAACAGCTCAAAGAGAAACGTGATAAACACTAGACAGAGACCAGATAAGCTCAGGCAGAAGAGAGTGCCGTGATCCCTTAGGAGGCTTTGTGGGGGTTTGAGCTGGATGGAAGAGCATCTTTGGAGTTGGGTTAGAGAAGGATCCCTGTCAGCAAAGACATGGAGCTGGGCTTGAGCATGGTGGGGAGCAAGGCGGCTGGTCTGACCACGGTTAGCAGATCTGGGCTAGGAGAAGAGGAGGCGAGAGGCTGGCTGGGTGAGGCAGTTATTAATTTCCTAGGGCTGACCTTACAAAGCACAACAGCCTGGGTGGCTTAAATAGCAAGAATTTACTGTCTCACAGTTCTGGAGGCTAGAAGTCTGAGATCGAAGTATCGGCAGGGTTGGTTCCTTCTGAACGTTGTGACAGCGGGTCTGTTCCAGACCTCTCTCCTAGCTTCTGGTAGTTCTTTAGCTTGTAGCAGTGTAATTCCCTTCTTCACATGGCATTCTCCCTGTATGGGTGTTAGTCTTTTTATTAAAATACCAGTCATGTTAGATTAGGGCTCAGCCTAATGACTGCAGTTTAACTATCTCCCAATAAGGTCTCGTCCTGCAGTATAAGGGGTTAGTTAGGACTTCCACATATGAATTTGAGGAGGACACAGTTCAAACCAACAAGTGGGTGTCAGCCATTATCAGCGCTCTCTTGTTCCTGCCTATCGTGATGGTAAAACAGGGAATGGGAACCAGCTAGCCCGCCATGGGCTTTGTCTCCTGTCTGTGAGAGAATCGAGATCTAGGATCAGGGAACTTGCAAGAGGGAGAAATGATAGTGAGGGGGTGAAGGATCATGCTCAGGGTGCTGATGCCAGATGAGAAGTTAGTAAACCTGGGAGCATTCAGGAGCCAAAGCCCTGCCACTCCTGCCCCTCTACTCCTCCCTCTCCACCCCTCGGAGGCCAGAGAAACTTCAAGTTCACCAGAGCCTGATGGGAACCCATGTGGTGTTAAGAGTCTGTAGGACCCCTCACAAGACATCACGCATGTTCTGGGAAGAGGGAGAACATTGATCTCCCTCCAAAGCCACATTCTTGGAGCCTTATTTCTAGGCACATGGTAGAAGGACACTGGCCTGGGCGTAAAAGTGCTGGCTGTCTCTGCCACTAACTAGCTGTGTAATCTTGGGCAAATCCCTTTGCCTCTCTGGTCACACCATGACATAGGATGGCTCACCTCTGTGCATGGAAGGAGGAAAGGTGAAACAGTGAGTAAGAGGGTCCTGGAAAACATAAACCTTGATACAGATGCAAGTGGCACTATTTTTCTTCTCTTTGCACCATTTGCTCTGCTCCAGAAAAGCCAATACTCAACCCAGAGCTCTTAGCATTCCTTCTAGAACCATCTGTACTAGAGCTACCCACCCCCTCCCATTATCTACAGCTACAGCTGAGTCCTGGTCCCCAGTTGGTTGCCCAGGCATCAGATATTTCCTGAGGATCACTGGGCACAAGCACATTTTCTTTTTTCTTTCTCTTTTCTTATGAGATAGGGCAGTTGGCATCTTTACCTCTTGCCGACAGAGCTCATTTTAAGTCATGTTGTGGAGTTTGAGGCATTTTGGTAAGCTCTGTTCTTTGCAAATATTAGCCTTATCAGACAGGATGGACTAAGTTATGCTGCAGTAACAAACAACGCTCAAATCCCAGTGGCTTAAAACAATGTTTTATTTCTTGTTCATATTGCATGTCCATTGCGGGCTAGGTGGGGCCTGCTCCTTGTCGCTCTCACCCCAGGATCCAGGCTGATGGAGCAGCAACTCTCTGCAACATTGCCGGTTGCCATGGAAGAAAGAAGAGGGCTTTGGCAGGTCTTGAAGGCAGAAGGCCAGAGTATTTAGTGAACAGTATTAATGCTTGTCACAAGTGACGTACAGATGCCACAGTAATCACAATCCACAGTGTTTTACTGAATGCCTGATAACCTAATATCAGAATCACTGGGAAGACTTGTTACAACACCTACTTCTGGGGCTCAGCCTCA